TGTTACATTTCCAACTAACTCAGTTACACTTCAAGATAAAATCTCCACCATTTAGCCTATACTACTCATTACTATGAATACCCGATGATAGCCGTAAACTACACTGCCAAACTGCATGTCAAAGAACAGAGTTCTGCAACCATTTTTTTCTGGCATTTCCTACCCTCTAGATGTAAAATGAGCATCATGGATTAGAACTAAAGTGTTATTAAAAAGAAAACATTCAGTGTGAATATATCACTATGTAAAATAGCAAGCAGTGTAAACATGACTTCAGAAACAGTGCTGTAAAAACATGTTTGAGCTTTTGAGAAGTTAGATATGGTCCCACACTCAGTCACTGGCATAATATCACTGCAATAGCAGAGATCTTAAGGATTTACCAGGCAAACAAAATATTAAGAACACCCTTTAACACTCAAGAGTCAAAAGCTTCCATTAATTTTCATAATATGAACCAGATCTAAAGCTATCTACATGCTTTTAGTTACTATCTCTTGAACAGACTCACAAGAAATTTCAAGATGCACAATTCTTCACATTGCTATTCAAGTAATTTTTTATTTTACCATATCCAAGGATCACTGTGCAGACTCATGGAAATACAGCCCAACAATAGAAGAATTATGCAAACTGACAGTGCTCAATCTTTCCAAATGGAAAGCTTTCTATTTTTATCCTAATGACAGAGCTAGGGTCTCCTCTTGCCATACAACAGGACCTAATTGCACCTGGTTTTATAGTCTCAGGAAGTATTAGAACTGCAAACCACTATCTGTGCTTCTTAGCATACACAATATCCCTACTTGTATCAGGAGTCCTAGGGAAAGGGCTGGAAGTTGGCTCCTATCCTTACCTTGCCTGTTGCCTTTTGAAACTAGGCAGATGTCCAAAACAGTCTAGGGGATTCTGTGGGTCCCACAGACACAACCATCTAAAAACCTATATGCAGCAGCAGAGTGAGGGTCAATCAGGTATTCCCCAGGTCTGAGAGTTAGAGATCATAAAGTGTGTTTATGATCTGTGAACCAACATCAGATGTTTCTTGCCTACAGACAGCTTCACGTCTCTTTTATTTTGGAGAAAGGCAACATTAGATGAACCTATCTTACAGATAGGTGGGTTGCATATTAGCATCAATGATACCTAAAGACAACAAAAATAAAAGCTTAAGTACACTGAGAGAGAAGTTTTGTAGCACCTTGCAATGCAGAGGCCTGCAGAAGGCAGTTTTTATGCTGAGAGTAATGCACATTTTTTCCTTGGTACCAAGAAATATTTTTGTGGAGTTACATGTTCTTCCAGTTACAACTTCTATTTGCTTAATTTTAAGTTTTCTAGGAAGCATCCTACAATACAAAACTTTTAAACATGGTGCTCATACTTGCCATAAGTTATCTGTAACAATTCACTGCTCTGAAAAAAAAAAAAATTATTCTCACATATTGCAAGTTGCTTTGAAAGCAAAACAAATCCCTTGGAAGAAGCTGAGATCCAGCAACACAGAACTCTAACCAGTACACAGTTAAGTTACAAAAAGAAGGGAAAACAATCCCTTAACAAGTATTTAGCCCCCACATTACTTGAAAAAACTAAGCATAATGTTTTTGTTCCTCCTCCCCAGTTGTGTCAAGACTTGCTCCTTCATGTAGCAAAAATATCTTATGAAATAAATTAAGAACTATCAAACTCTAACAGTGCAGTTCATTTTTCTTGTTTCCTTTCATGTTAGGTGTATTCATTAAGGGTTGGACTTGATGACCTCAGAGGTCTTTTCCAACCTGGTTGATTCTATGATTCATTTTCATCTACCCAGCCTAAATCCAAGGAACTTTCAATATTGACTCTTGCTCTACATTAAACATGCTTCTTGACACAGCATACTTGATCAAACTGTTCTTCTGGGCAGCACTACACATCTAATGAAGTTTTTATTTATATAATTTCTCACTTGCACCTTCTCTGAAATATTGATTCCCAGCACAAGAATGGGAGATAACCAGTGCATGAAATAACTCCTTCCTTGAGGGTGGTGATCTGGAACCTGAGCAAAGGGTTGCCCAAAATATTATTCCCAGTCATAATGAATAGCTACATAAAGTCACTAGATAAGGCAAAGATTGACAGGGATAAGGAGAGCCATGCAGAAACACCTGGATTTGTGACAACCTTCACTGCAGATGTACACTTAGCTGATTGCATGAAGAGGGGCTTGTGGTTCAGAACTGGTCCTATCCCTCATTGATACAAGCTGCTCTCCACAAAGTAGTTGCTGCCCTTTCCATCTAGCTAGGAGTTCCTAAACTATGACGTACTGCAGTAGACCCGAGTATGCTATATTAGTTTATAAAATATGCTTAGATGCTGTGCTTGAATTTTTAACAAGTCCCCAACTTTATCAATATCTTAGTGCTGGCTACAATAACCTACCATTTAAACAAACATTCAGGGGGACAAGTTTTCTTCTTCAATTTATCAAATACTGGTTACAGGATTAGCAACTGAAACCAGAATCTGTTGAAATGTTGAACCAGCCTTTAACAGTAGTAGTTCCTATTAAGAAGATACAAAGAGAACACTTCTTGTATTTCAGTTTATTCAGCTAGTTCAACAACCCAGAGAGAAAGGTCATATTTATCCAAGAATAAAGAAGGTGCCAAAAGCTGATGTTACCAGCTCCAAGTGTTCCATGAGCACAAATCAAGCATTTGTACTCCAAATCAACTATCACTAATACTTTAAGGTCCCATTAAACACAAGTCTTTCTCAAAATATTTATATTTTAACTTAACTAGAAGGCTTTGTACTTCCCCTCCAGTTCCTACCCTCAAAAGGAAGAAAATTCCCAAACTCTCATTGCCACAAAATTGAAAAGAAGTTACAGAGTGCATATTTCTAATCCTGCTTACCTGCCTTAGGAAGCTAAAAAGACAAAACAAGATGAAGCTAGATTTTCATCAAGTCAAGAAGTCTTAAAAACTTATAAGATGTTGATCTGAACTAGTGCTCACCTTGCATATACTATGAATATATCATAGAAGTCAACCCACAAAGAAAGTTAGATATTAACCTTATCTCTAAATAATTCAGTAAGCCAAGTATAACACATCTAAAAATTTGCCTGAAGGCCCAATATAGACAAAGTCAACAACATCACTTCTCAGGACCAAAGGATTCCTTCTCCCTAGTGACAGAAGAGTGGTCTAAAAATCACTTTTTCATAGGCTCAGAAGTTAAGATGCATAACCAAAGATCAAACAATACCAAAACAAAATCCACCGTGTGCAGCTCCTCATGGAGGAAAGATGAGACAGAAACAACATATGAGATACTTCAGCAATGCTGCTTGAAGGGAATTCCTCTGCTGTGGAGGGACAAAGGCATCAGGAAACCTTCATCTCCCAGTCAAAATAAGCATCACAGGATTGGTCAGAAGGATTTAGAAGAAAGGTACAACAGTTCAAGGACATATAATACCAAAAAAGATATCACATTCATAATACTGAGGTAAGGCAACTGGCAACACTTGTTAATACACATGCCTGGATCATTTAAGAGGTTGCTTCAGTTTCTTTCCAGGAACAATTATAAACATACAGTCCAGAGAGCTCCCCAACCAAAGATATTTTGATCCAGTGTGATTTCTTTGAAAAAAATAGATAAGTAATGTAAGGGCAGGAAGAGGTTGCCAAACCATTTGGATGTAAAAATGACCCAATTACCAACCCAAGACTAGTGCAACTTCCTGAATAAGTAATAATGAAGGCGAGTCTAAGAATACACCTATCACACCTACATGAGCATGTCAACTAACTCATTACAAAAAGCAAGCCTTGTGCTAAAGCCTTCCCTTCCTTCTAAATGATGAAGCCAAACTGAATGCGACTCAAATCTATTATTCCCCATGCTACAGGTTATTTTGTTTTTGTGTTAAAAAAGCTCTTAAACCTTGACCCAGAGGCCAAGATGCATGTCAGCCAAGCAAAGAAATCATCCAAAAATTAAATTTGGTTTGACAGAAATCAAAGGGCACGAAATGAGAGACACAGAAGCCACTACTAAAACAGTAACTCCTGGGAGAAGCAAGTTGAAGAGGATATTATTTTGCTAGAGACCAAGCAGACATCAAGTGCAAACGAGCATGCCTGATCCAACATATCCTCTGCAGGCACTATGTTTTTTCAATTGCTTCCTTTAAGAAAAAACACGCAATTCCTCCTCCAATTGTTTTGAGAATTTAAGTCTTCTCCCTTTCTGGGGCAGCAGTGCCAGATTTCTTGCTTACTATATTTACAAGAGAACCACAAGATTTTTTTTTGTTAACAGGAAGACAGAGATAAATTAAAAGCATTTATCTACCTTCATCAATTATGTGTTGCTGTAGCCATTTGAAGGCTGCCCTCTAGAAGTTTGGAGAGGAAGAAAACGGAAAAAAATAATGAAAAACAGTCCTGAAATCCATGAATTTTTGAAAAAAAACCACAGCCTTTATCTTGACTTAGTCATCCTACACGACAAACAAAGCTATCGGGGGAAGCTCCCTTGAAATAAATATACACAGACTAGAGCCAAGAGGGTAACTTGGGGGTAAAAGGGAAGAATTTGCACCGTGCCATGAGGTACCTGCCTTTCTTTGGGGTTAAAATAGAAAAAGAATAGAGACAGTTGTAACACGGCCTCCTCTCCCCAGAGGGCATCCTGGGAGGAGAAGAGGCCCTCCAGGCCCCAGCCAGCCTGCCCTGTAGACCGTCCCCACGCCACCGGCAGCGGGCGGAGAAGGGCAGCTCAGAGAGCACCATCTACGGGCGCCGAGCCGCCCTGCCCTCCCTAACCCCGGCCCCCTCCCGCAAGGGGCGGAGGGGCTGACAGCGGCCGCGGGCCCGCTGCCCCGCCACGGCCCCTCCGAGCCCGACAAAGAGACCCGGCAGGCGGCGAGGGGAATGGTGCAGGCCCCGGCGGCGGGAGGCCCGGTCCACCAGTGGGGCGGGGAAAGGTCGTACCTTGAAGTACCCGCCCTCGTAGAGGGTGTTGGGGGGTCCGAAGATCGCCACCTCCCAGTTGTAGAGGTCGGACTCGTCGACCAGGGTGATGCGGAAGCCCTCCACCGGCTCCTCCTGCAGCGACTTCAGCTCCAGCATCAGCGCCTTCTGCGAGCTGCTCATCTGCTGCTGGGCCATGGCGCGGCGCGGCCCCCGCCGCCCACGCTGCTGCTGCCGCTGCCCCGCCGCCGTCGCGCTGCCCCCACAGGCCCCCCGCCCCTCCTCGCGCTGACAGCCGTCGCCGCCGCCGCCACTTCCTTTTGTGACGGCGCCCACTCGCAGCTGACCTCAGCGCGCCGCGCCGCACTACGCAGCAAGCCACACCCTACCCCGCGTCCCGCCCCTACCGGCGCGCTTAAAGGGGCAGCGCTCTCCACCACAGCGTTTGCGGAGTGTGTGAGTGGTTCCTGGTGTTACATCAGCCCTTACGGACCAGGCCCGCATCTCGCCTGGAGCGGAATAGAAGTTGCGTGCTGAGTTATGAGTGGGATAGAGAAGGCGGTGCTCTGTGGGTGTCACGGATGGGTACGGCGACCCATGGCCAGTCGGTGCTGCTGCGCTGACAGAAACTCACGGTCAAAAAAGAGCGGTTTTTGTACAAAGGATGGTTTTTGAGAAGCGGCCTTGCATGACCCAGCGTCATCTAAAAGCCCTGCAGCAACCCCCAAGCAGCAGGAGAGGAACTGGCAGTTACCTCTCTCCTATGGGTGTTGTTTTCATGTGCCTCCACAGATATGTGAGGTGCTACAGGCAGAAAATGCAGTTTCAATCCTTCCTCCCATTTTTAGATACAGTTAAGGGAGAAAAATGTTTGCAGAGGTGGAAAGGTACATCGACCTGTGAATATGAGCAAGAACCTCAGATCATGCTTGCGATCTCCTATACCTTATCCAGCCTTTAATAAGTAATACTATTGTTAACTATATTATTCATTGTAAAAATAAATAAATGAAAAACCCAACGTGATTATGCAGGAGGAGGAAAACTAGCATAGCACAACCCCTGATGTGGTGAATCTGGAATTCACTATTGGAAATGTTAATGTATGCACCTGGCTTGGCAGCACAAAGGACTGCCCAGCTGCATAAGAAATATCTGGTGTGGAGACAGAGTTGCAAGCTAGACATCTTATCTCAGTCAAGATAGGAGAAGTAATAAGGATGTAACAACCCTGACAGAGAAAAGTTGATGACTATTTCTTGGTAAAGAATTAATGTGATTCTAGCGGGATGTGATAGTTTGGACCTGGCTCCTTGCCAAATGCCTGAAAGTCACGACAGCAGCCCCCTTCCCCCCTCCCTTCTTCCCTTAGGGCAAAGGAAAAAAAACTATAAAAAAAAAAATTAAAGAAACCAAAGTCAAGCTGCTTATATAAAAATATATATATTTACGTAAATTACAGTTATATACAGTTAAGATGCTATATACACAGTAAAAGGGGATCCACCCCCCCACCCCCCCCGAATGGATAGGGAAAGGGGAAAAAGGGGACAAAAGGGACACCGAACAGGTATACCCGATCAAACTCAAGAACTATACTAATAACTAACAAAACAGATCTCACCACTTCCCTTAGAAAAGCAGGATTGGCAGACACAGCCAGCACTCTTCGAACTCCCACGTGGCAGGCCAGCGGTCGCTGCAGGCCTCAGCTTTAGATAAGCGAGACCAACGCAGGGACCCACTGTTCCTGAACCTCACCGGAAGAGAAGAGAGAGAGGTCTCTAATCTCTAACTTATTTATACCCTGGTTTACATAACAATCGTATGGAATACTGGGTACTTGGCCACTTCCTTGGTTACAAACTGGTCACCAGGAAGGCCTAGATCAAAACCATCACACAGGAATAATTTAAACAACTAATAGGTTGTGTTAAGTTCTAAAGTAATTTTAATGTCCCCCAAAATGACAGAGTTATTTGAAGGAAATCTCTGTTGTCTGTGGACTTGTTTTCAAATAAAATTGGAGATGAATAAAAGTGAAAATCACGTAACACCTTAATATAGATCTGTGGCATTAGATTACATGGAGTCCAGGGATGAAATGGTAGAAGACCCTGAGATGCTGCTGTATAGAGAGGGATTGAGGAGTGTTTACCTTTAGAGATTACTACCCTGGAGTGAGCTGAGATTTACAGAAAGTTGCTTAATTCTGCTCTCACATCCTCAACCTAGGGGCTGGAGGGCTGGATCCCAAACTCTTGTGTGGCTGAAACACTGTTTTGTTGGAGGAGCTCCTCAGCAGCAAGGTCATACTGTGCTGGGTGTGTTTTCTGGTAGGAGCTCAGACCCATGTTTTTTTTATTTATGTCTTAGAATAGAACAGAATATACTAGAATAGTTCAGTTGGAAAGGACCTACAATGATCATCTAATCCAACTGCCTGTCTACTTCAGGGCTGACCCAAAGTTAAAGCATTTTATTAAGGGCGTTACCGTCACAGGAGAGAGTTGAAGGCTTTGACAAAGTTAGTAAAGAAGCCCTACTGTTGAAGTCACAAGGTGCAGGAAGGACTCCCTTGCTTTCTAAACTCCTTCTCAGAGGAGAGTTTAGGTGCAACTAAATCCTATCTTAGCCTCAAACTGTGTGAACAGTTTAAGGAATTATAGAAGTGTGATTAAATCACTTTGTCCCACAGGTTTCAATAATGGCAAAACAGATATATTTATATAAAATGAATTATTTATTATGACAAATGAACAGACAAGTGAACAGATTCTAGGCCTTATAGGGGTAGGTCATCCTGCCACAGTTACCCAAATGCCTCTTAAACACTAATAGACATGGAGTATTGACCACCTCTCTAGGAAGCCTGTTCCAGTGTCTGTCTACCTTCTCTAAAAATAAATGGTTTTGAATGTCAAGTCTAAACCTCACCTGATGCAGTTTTGAACTAATTCCCACAGATCCAGGGAGAAGAGATCAGCAGGTCCCTCTCCACTTCCCCTCCTCAGGAAGCTGCAGAGAGCAATGTGGTAGGCCCCTCAGCCTCCTTCTCTTCAAAATAGACAAACCCAGAGCCCTCAGCTGCTCCTTAGAGGATATGCCTTCCAGCCCTTTCACCAGCTTTGTTGCCCTCTCCTGGACACATTCACATACCTTAACATCCTTCTTAAATTGTCTTGGGTTGATGGACATAATGTTTTGTCAATACAGGATCAGGTTGATTGTCAGGATACGTGGGCTGGGAGCTATGTTTTCACTTTGGTGCCAGGCTTCCTGGGTAACAAGTACTTCCATCACCATTAGGTTTGTCCAACCATCTCATCTTGGTTACATCTGAAAGTGTTGCAGACATGATGCTCTCAGCAGTGCTCTCTCCAAGAGAGAAAAAGCTCTTCACATCTGCCCACCATGTCCAATCCAGCCCCATGACAGGGGTCAGTAATGAATCTTTGTATTTATCCCTATTCTTCCCAATCCCAGTATCTTGGTCCCAGCTACCCATGCTTCATGACTGCTCCCTGCTCCCAAAACCTTATCAGCCCCATTCACACCTCCACCCCCACCTCCCAAATGCCCAAGTTTAACACAACATCATTTCCAAATGCCCCAACCCTAGCACCCACTTACAGCTGCCCCTCCACATGACCTGTTTCCATTGCTAATAAGTCTAATAATGCATCCAACCTGGAGGACCACACTGGTACCTTCCCCAGTTGATGCCAGGCAGCAAGGACCTGATCCATTAACACAGCATCCCAGCTCACATTATGGTCAAATATGGCTTTGCTCAGGCTTGGAGGAAAATGTTAGGTTGATTCAATGTCCAGAAGCTGAGCCCTTTGGGGATTGTACTGTCCCTATTTCTATGGTAATCAAAACATCTTTCCTTGCAGCCAGCCTCCAGCACAGGCTTTGTCTGAACCAGCCTAACACTGGGAAAGATGGGAGAAGCAAACTTTAGAGCTTTTCAGGATTTCTCCCTGTCTACTGCCTGTCTCAAATGTTAATGAAAGAGGTAATCATGCGAGGCAGAAAGCAAGCCCTGATGTATTCAATAGGGTAGGCTGAAAATTTTCCATCAGGTCTGCTTTTGGAGAGAATATTGGTCTTTTTCCCCCCAGCTTTTTATTCCCCCCACTCTTATGAAAACATTTGATGATCACAGGAAATAGAAACTGTCAAAGCAATGGAGCACTTTGAAGCCTGGGCAGCCCCCTCCAAGGCTCTTGTCTGCATTTCTGCTTGTGCCCCTGGGGAGCTGCTCTACCTGGTGTCCCCTCCCCCATGACCAGGCTGCCCTGTGGTTGACATGACTTTTTGACTTATATGACATTTTCCTCTCCTAATCAGAACCAATATATCTCAGTGAAAGGATTAAGTCTTGTCCTCACAGATGGTCACTGCCCACCTGCAAGCAGGGCTCTTCATGAGGTGTGCTCTGCCACAAAATGTAGTTGTTCTCTCTTCATCTCCTTTTTCACCTGAAGGAATCAGTTTGTTCTTTGGGCTCAGAGAACAAGAAATAGGGTCTGGTATATTAACAGGTGGCTCCAGGAAGGAGAAGTCTTACCAGGAGACGAGGAGGCTACATGTACCATTAATCCTGCCCCCAGCAGCAGAACTTGTCACTATAAACTGGGCCTCAAGATGTCACTAGTGCCTGATGTAAATCTGAGATGAAAACTTCCATTCAATTTCTTTCTGCTTTGTTCTTATAATCTATTTTTAATATTTTTTTTTCTTCTCCTTCCTCCTTCCTGTGAGCCATGTTCATGAAGGATGACAAACTGAGAGTCTTCTGCTTAGCTGACACCATCTCCTCTCCTGCTGCCTCCTCCCAGATTCTCTGCTCCACTGAGGCATCAGCAGAGATCCCAGTGACTCTGGGCTGGACTTTAACGCCATCTCACCCCTGGCATGACAGATGGATGCTCCTGTGATGGAAAAGATCAGGCGGGGGTTAGGCGCTCTTCTCATCTCCCCTGCGAACTGCTTACAGCCCCCTCTAGAGACCCTTGTAACTCAAGCAACCGACAGCTATTCCTTGGGCTGTACTGAAGCAGAGCAGGACACCTGGAGGTCCACCTCATCACCCTCCTGCCTCAAGGCAGTATCAGTTTGTCCTAAACAGCCCAAGACATATTTACTCAACCAGTTCTTTAATATTTCTCCTTCAAACTGCCCAAAGTGGAAATTTACTTGCTCCTAGCTCAACGTGTC